GTGTGTGTGCGTGTAATGACTGAAACAGTGGTCCAGTGCCGTGTGTGTGCGTGTAATGACTGAAACAGTGGTCCAGTGCCGTGTGTGTGCGTGTAATGACTGAAACAGTGGTCCAGTGCCGTGTATATAACTAGTATTATTGGGTTTAGTTCTCGTATGTGGTAATTGGAAGGATTATTACTTGTTCTGTCGCAGGTGTTGAATGAACTGTCCTGTAATAAAATCCCCGTGGTTAACCTCTATCTGTGTTGCATCTGAAATGTAACTTAGAACATTTTCAGGAACAACACACACGCACTTTCCTGTTTTTTTGTTGTTGTTTCCTTATTCTGTGTGGGGGTGGAGACTGACCACCTCAGTGTAAGAGCCACAGACTGAAAGAAACCACAGTTATGCACTATGGAGCATGAGAAACTGTAAGACTGAGGGGAGGAAGGGAGGGTTACAACGGAAGTAGTGTTCGTGCGTACAGAGGAATATTTCTAGGTTTCCAGATTCGTGTGGGACCGTGCAAGACACGTAAGTGTACGATACCAGTTGATTATTTTACCAGAGTTGTGAAAAACTAGACATCAGTCACTAACTTCAACCTTAATACAGGAAGTATGCAAGATTTGTGAACTAGTGTTAAGAACGTTTGTACAGAGAGTATGCAAGATTTGTGAACTAGTGTTAAGAACGTTTGTACAGAGAGTATGCAAGATTTGTGAAATAGTGTTAAGAACGTTTGTACAGAGAGTATGCAAGATTTGTGAAATAGTGTTAAGAACATGTGGTGTACAGAGAGTATGCAAGATGTTTGAACTAGTGTTAAGAACTGTGTATGTAATGACTCATACAGTGGTCCAGTGCTGTGTATGTAATGACTGATACAGTGTACAGAGAGTATGCAAAATGTGTGAATTAGTGTTAAGAACGTGTGTACAGAGAGTATGCAAGGTGTGTGAACTAGTGTTAAGAACGTGTGTACAGAGAGTATGCAAGGTGTGTGAACTAGTGTTAAGAACGTGTGTACAGAGAGTGTGCAAGGTGTGTGAACTAGTGTTAAGAACGTGTGTACAGAGAGTGTGCAAGATGTGTGAACTAGTGTTAAGAACGTGTGTACAGAGAGTGTGCAAGATGTGTGAACTAGTGTTAAGAACGTGTGTACAGAGAGTATGCAAGGTGTGTGAACGATTGTTAAACTTCGGTTTCTGAGGGCAATACTACTTTGTTGTTCAGAATATTTCAATAATGATGAGTAAATACCGAGTGGATTTGCATTGAACTTATGGTATGGATCAGCTGACTATAGACGATCGTTTCTATCCGCTAGGTGTTTTTGTAATTTGGAGATCTTTGATTCTGTTAAATGTATGTAACCCCAGTACCTACTAACTTGTGTAACGTGTAAATGTATGTAACCCCAGTACCCATTAACTTTTGTAACGTGTAAATGTATGTAACCCCAGTACCCATTAACTTTTGTAACGTGTAAATGTATGTAACCCCAGTACCCATTAACTTGTGTAACGTGTAAATGTACGATTAGGTTTCAGCTAACCACTTCCCCTCTCTCTCTCTCTGTCCTTGTGCGTAAGGACGGGATAGTGATTTATTGGAACAGACAGGTGGTTGTACATTAAGTATAGGTGGAGCTGTACGGCTGATTACAAACTGTTTTCAGCAGAAATAAGGAAGTTCGAGACGTAACTTTATGGTACGAACAGTAATTTGGAAGAATGAGGTTTTCTTGTCCTCTTAAAATTTCAGTGCTGATTGAAAAAAACAAGAAAACCTAAGAATACAATATCAAAACTTAAGTCAGTATAAATATTAAGGATTTATCTTGTCTATTTGAGCATGGAAATAGTAGCTTTTCGAAGTGTTTGACATTTTGGACCAACTTGACAACATTGGTAATTATTTCTGTATCCATCACAAATAGTGTGTCCCTCTGGTGATTCCGAACAAGAATTATTATCGAAGTTATTGTTTTACCGCCTTTTGTATGAAATAACTTTTTTTCTGGCCAAGGTCTTACCAGTATTATAACTACCGAAAGTATTTTACGAAATATTCTTTGAAGTGTCAAACTTTACCTTGATCCTGAAGCTACTGACATTAGAGGGTTAGTTTAGAACCATGTTACCATCTTTACCTTGGTCCTGGAGCTACTGACATTAGTTGGTTAGTTTATAGCCATATTACTACCTTTACCTTGATCCTGAAGCTACTGACATCAGTTGGTTAGTTTGAGCCATATTACTATCTTTACCTTGGTCCTGGAGCTACTGACATTAGTGTTAGTTTAGAGCCATATTACTATCTTTACCTTTATCCTGAAGCTACTGACATTAAAGGGTTAGTTTAGAGCCATATTACCATCTTTACCTTGGTCCTGAAGCTACTGACATTAGTGTTAGTTTAGAGCCATATTACTATCTTTACCTTGGTCCTGAAGCTACTGACATTAGTTGGTTAGTATAGAGCCATATTACCATCTTTACCTTAGTCCTGGAGCTACTGATATTAGTGTTAGTTTAGAGCCATATTACTATCTTTACCTTGGTCCTGAAGCTACTGACATTAGTTGGTTAGTTTATAGCCATATTACTACCTTTACCTTGGTCCTGAAGCTACTGACATTAGTGTTAGTTTAGAGCCATATTACTATCTTTACCTTGGTCCTGAAGCTACTGACATTAGAGTGTTAGTTCGAGCGTTGCTACGAATTGGTAGTAACACGTCTTTTCTCATTTTGTGTCTGGAGTTGAGTGACAGCTTTGACCAGCTGAACTCATTATTTCTCTCACTACTCTGAATTCATTAAAACAAGTCAGTTTCCTGTGAATAGGTATTGAAAAAATCGTGCCCACCTGTATCCGCTGGTACGTGATGAAGCACTACAGGTATGGGAGTTCGTATCCAGGACGGTAGTGGCAGATAGAAACCACATGACGTGAACACTGTCTAGCGTCGTTTCGTGTTGTAATTAGTACTGATTTAACTTTACATTAGGTATTTTCTTATCATATTTCGTTATAAATATGTGAAACTTAATGTTTTATATTAAGTTTTTCTTCGGGAAATAAAAGTTAACCTTTAAAACTAGTAAACTAAGTTGTTATAAAGATTTGATAAAAACGCCATTTTTGTTATATTGAAAAACCATTTAATTTGTCACATAACGAGTAAAACTGGTTCTTGCAACTACATTTCATTTGTCACATAACGAGTAAAACTGGTTCTTGCAACTACCTTAGCCTATTTGAAGCCGCTATTAAGTTTAAGTGAGTGTTTTCTTTGTTAGCCTTCCAGAAACCGGTGTTAAGTTTGAGATTTAAAAACTGTTTGAAGGGCCGAATAACATTTAGGTAGAAAATTGTTAGGTATGTGGTAGACATTGCAAGGTTGCCGAGAGACGATATACAAAGGTTGCCGAGAGACGACATACAAAAGTTGCCTAGAGACGACATACAAAGGTTGCCGAGAGACGACATACAAAGGTTGTCTAGAGACGACATACAAAGGTTGCCTAGAGACGATACAAGTTTTCCAATTTGTTAAAAGAATGTTTTTTTAGTGGAACATCTTTGAAGCAGTAGCCCAGTCAACAAGTTGCCATGGGTCCACTAACAACACAGCAGAACAATTACTTTGTATCTTTTTATAATCCACCTAACAATATTGTTGACATTAGGTTTAAGTTTAATGATGGGATAACAATATTTCGGATTTTTCAGGTTGGTTGTTTGGTGTGCTTGACACCGGCGAGACGGGTATATTTCCCTGTGAATATGTGATGCCACTCGGACAGCAGGAGATGAGACACCTGGGAAACAGAATGGTGAGTTAACCTTTTTCATAACTGTTGCTTCAGAGTATCGACTTAACACGCATGATCACATATAATAGTTTTAAGTAATAACGTTTTTATTTTACTCCCTACTATTCATTGTCTAATCTACCCTACTTGTGTTCATCGCGCTGTCGTTTAGATAGTTAAGCCTAACAGTTATTTAAACCGTGCACCAGTGTATGTGTTGTTCTGTGTTCGTGTTGTACCGTACGCCAGTGTATGTGTTGTTCGTGATGTACCGTACGCCAGTGTGTGTGTTGTTCGTGATGTACCGTACGCCAGTGTGTGTGTTGTTCGCGATGTACCGTACGCCAGTGTGTGTGTTGTTCGCGATGTACCGTACGCCAGTGTGTGTGTTGTTCGCG